CAGTTGACAGTTCTGCTCCTCTCTTTACCCGAGTGTCCAGAACATATGGCCGCAGGTCAAATGATACCACTACAAAGTCAATCATTGACCTGCGACCTAGGCTGTCCTGGTGCCACGTGCACCGATGGACATCCTTATGTATGAACACGGTGTTAGTTATGGCCAAACTGCAACCCGCACAGAAGTCCAATAACTGAACACCACTCGGGTTCAGATCGGGCAGGCCGTTCCTCCCAATCACGCCCTTCCAGGTCCTGCTGTCATTGCCCACGTGAGCGTTGAAGTCCCCCAGCAGAACAATGGAATCCCCGGTCAGGGCACTGTCCAGCGCCCGTCCCAGGGACTCCAAAAAGGGCAGGTACTCTGAACTGCTGTTCGACGTATAAGCGCAGACAACAGTCAGGACCCGTTCCCCGACCCGAAGGCACAGGGAAGCAACCCTTTCGTCTACTAGGGTAAACCCCAAAGTACAGGCAGAGAGTCTGGGGGCTATCAGAAAGCCCACCCCGGCCATCCGCCTCGTACCCAGAGCAACTCCAGCAAAGGAGAGAGTCCAACCCCTCTCAAGGACTTGGGACTTCTAGAGCATGAACGATGTGTCAAGGTGAGGCCGACTATATCTAGCCGGTAACGTTCAACCTCTTCCACAAGCTCCGGCTCCTTGCCTGCCAGAGAGGTGACATTCCATGTCCCAGGAGCCAACTTCTGTAGCCGAGGATCGGACCGCCAAGGCCCCCACCTTGGTCTGCTGCCCGATCCACAATGCACCACTCCCTTCTGGATCCCTCTGCAGGTGGTGGGCCTGCAGGGGGACAAGCCCATGTAGCCGGTTTGGGCTGGGCCTGGCCGGACCCCATGGGCAAAGGCCCAGCCACCAGGCGCTCGCCCACGGGCTCCAACCCCAGGCTTGGCTCCAGGGCGGGGCCCCGGTAACCCTCCGGGCTGGGTACACGATCTCCTGTTGTCTTCCATCATGAAGGGTCTTTTGAACCATTCTTCGTCTGACCCTTTACCCAGAACCAATCTGCCATGGGAAACTCTACCAGGGGTAAAATGCCCCCGACAGCATAGCTCCTAGGATCATTCGGGCACTCAAACTCCTCCACCACGATAAGGTGACGGTTCACAGAGGAGCAAATGCAATCCTGTATTATGAAACTCAGCCAAAGTTAATATGAGGGTTCTGCAATCTGACCTGGCGAAATCAAACAAGTATGTTTGAAAGTTATAATCTTGTTTTGTGGAAAACTCCCTTTTTGTTTTCTTACTTCACTGCAGTGGAGGTATAGGAACATAAGAGGAAATACTATTAAGAGGACTACGTTTGTCCTTCATTACCACCATACATTAGATTGGATTGCAACAGATATGGATTAATGGCTCAGCATTAGCTCTCTCACACTCAATAGATAGATAGATATGTTATGGTACTTTGTCATTTTGATGTTAAAGTAGTAGAGTCGTAATAGAATTTGCCAAATGCTTTTTCCTCCTGAGAACCAAAAGAAAAATGGTTTAACGTTTTTATTATTTTTTTTTAGACTAGACATGGGATCAATCTCTTGCACAGCCATCTTTTGAAGTACATCACAAGACATCAATTTGGTAATGATGAATAATTATAATAGTTTTATTTTTAATAATTTCTTCTTCAGGCTCATCCTCAGCTAAAATGTCCTCTCCTGTGCATTCAAAATGGTCCTATACTCTTCCTCCTCATATTCTAACAGCTGCCCCTCAGTAATTTTCAACAAAATATTTTCTTCCTCACTCAATGCTCTTGTTTCCTGAAGACGAGAAGAAGCAAGTTCCATCGTCCCCCACAAAGGACATGGGTTAAAAATGTATTTTGAAGGGGCTTAAATTGACATACACTTTCAATAACTTAATATAATATAGTTGGGATTCTTATAATCAAAAAATAACATCCATATCAAAAACCAAAACAATATATGTTTATGAATATCATCATTTACCTCCCATATTGACAGAAAACATGTCTGCTGCAATTCCTGCTATTTGGAACAACATAGAATGTGCTCTGTTGGCCTAGCCCCTACATTACCATGATTAGGACTCAAGTAGACCGCATGCACTGTGTTTAAAGTGAAGGCCTCGGTGGCCTGTCCCCCACGGAGAACAAATATGAGTTGGTGGGTCCTATTGCTTGATTTATATGAACTAGAAATCAAGCAATAAATGCCACTTCCTAGGAAGCTGCACAGGAATTTTAGCTTTGTTAGAATTTTTTTACAAATAAACTCTGACATTAGTTTTGCTATTTATAGATATGTGTTTGAGAAAAATCAACATTTTTGTTTTATTCTATAAACAACTCAAAACATTACTCCCACACTCCAAATATAAATGCTATTATTTAGAGCATTTATTTGCAGAAGAAAATTGTTAAAAGCTAGTTGAAATAAAAAAGATGCAGTGTTTCAGACCTTGAAGAATGCAAAGAAAACAAGTTCCTGCTAATTTTTAAATACAATAATAATGTTCTAGGGAAGTTCTAGGGAATTAGGAAGTATCCACAAATCAATATTTAGTGGAATAACCTGATCTTGGCATGCTATCCACCAGTCTTTCACTTTGCTGCTGTGTGATTCATGCTACTCCTGATCCAAACATTCAAGCAGCTTGGCTTTGTTTGATGGCTTGTGACCATCGTCTTCCACTTGATCACATTCCAGAGGTTTTCACTGGGGTTAAGGTCTGGAGACTGGGCTGGCCATGATAGGGTTTTTGATATGGTGGTCCTCCATCGACACTTTGATTGACCTGGCTGTGTGGCATGGAACATTGACCTGCTGGGGAAAAAAGCCATCAGAGTTGGGGGAACATTTTCAGAGCAGAAAGACTTAAGTTTTCTTTCAGGACGTTGTGGCTTGTAGGCCTCTCCAGGACTCAGTCTAAGCTGAAAACTGGACTCATCAGAGAAGATAACCTTATTGCGGTCTTCTGTGGTCCTTTCCTTATGGTCTTATGCAAACCTCAGCCTGGCTCTTGTTTGCTCTCATTGATGAAGGACTTTTTCAAGCTTTGCAAGACTTTCTGCCTCTAGGAGCCTGTTTTGAATCGTCCTTGTCATACACTTCACTCCAGCTGCTGTTTGCCATTCTTTTTGTAGGTCACTTGACGTCATCACACGGTTACTGAGCAACATTTGAATGAGTTTGTGGTTGTTCTGGTCAGTGGGGAGTCTTTTTTCTCAACCTCTGCCAGTCTGAGGCTTTGTTGTCCCAGTGTCTGCTACTTGACCTTGTTCTTATGAATCACAGTCCTTGAAATTTTTAGGATGGAAGCATCCTGAAAGTCACTGTATCCTTCTGCCAGTTAAGCCAGGATTGAACCTTTTTTTCCTCACTCAAAACTTTTATTTTTATTACAGTTTTTGAGTTACCACTCGCACTGTTTTTGCCATCCAGCTGGTGCCATTGCAAGAGGATAGTGATGACCACAGCAGTGGTTTTTATACTTTTCCTCACTCAATAAGATTTAGTTCAGATGATCACCTAATCAGTAGCTACCTCATCGAATGGAACGACGTGTGCTTATGTTAGAATGTATGTATGTATGTATGTATGTAGAATGTAATGATTACCATATATGTAGAGAAGTAGATTTGTGAGGTGTAGATGGATGGATGGATGGATAGATAGATAGATAGATAGATAGATAGATGGTTTGGTTGAATGGACCATAGAAAGAATAAAAAGAGAAAGAAAAAATACAATAACATGAAATAACAATTTCACAGAAAACGTAGGCAATAAAATCTATTTTCTTAAAAAAAAAAAAAATACAGCACACAAACCAGGCTATATGAGCACTTTTAATGTTGTTTATAATTTGGAAAGACTCAAAACACTTCCTACATTTAATCCTGAAAGTGAAGACAAAGGAGTAGAAGCGCTGCTGGGTCTTAATAGTAGACACATGCAGATGCTGTTTGGATACTTAGGGGTACCATGTTTATTTCAACTTGTGAAGGGCTCATTGCATGAGTACAGTATACTCTCAATCAAAAAATATAAAATGCAAGTCTCCTTCAAAAACCATCAAAGGCATGTTGTAGGGTTTGTACGAAAATACCTTATTTTACATGGCAATATACATTGATTAAAAAGACCAATGTGTTGTGACTCACAGGTCTTCATCAGGATCATTGTCTGCTACAGCAGAAAATGGTTCAGAGATTCAAACTATGGGCAAGAGCTTGAGAACTTGACTTTTTGACAGTGAAATTTCCCAGTAAAATTAACATGTTGACAGTCCATCTCTGGCATTTTCTGTTTTCATTGTATAATATTACATCCTTGGCTTCCAGCTTAATTGAACGAGGGGTTTGAGTGTCAAAATAATCCTCTTTTTTCCTAGGATCCTAATGCGTACTGACATTCAGAAAATAGATGTTGCTTTGTCTTCTTTGTTACAAAATGTATGTTTATTACTGGAAATCAAAACTTTTGAGACAAAGTTGTTGGAGGGATAAATAAAATGCACAACTTTGTACTATATTTCCTTCAATTTGTTGGGGAATGTAGCCTATATGGGAGAAGTCATGTTGCTTCCCAATTAATGTTAGGAAAATGGGAATCTCACTCATATTCCCAGATGGAATAATTTTCCCTTTGCTGTATAAATATTTCCTTATATGTCTATTTGTGGCGTTAAATATTTCTTCTGTTGACAAAGAGGGTAGGTTCCAGTTCCTGTTAACTTGCCTCTCTGAGTGGCATTTCACCAGCTGATGGATCCCACCAGGAACAGCATTCATTACTGTTTAATATTCTTCTTAAGTGACAAAGCAGATCTTTATTTGAGAAGTTGAACTTGATCATTTTTTTTACGTTTGCATGAAAAATTAAATTCCTTCCTATGTAGATAAATCTGGAAATGGGTGTGTCTGGACACGTTCTCTGACGTTAAACCTCTCTGATGATCCCATTGGCTCGCTACCCTACGTCATGACGTCTTGTTGTTGGTGAAGGGGCGGGTGCAGTGTATCGCCGAGTCTGAGGAGAAAGCCACCGAAGGATGCCCGTCTTTCAGGTGAGATTCAGCGGGCTATAATGATAATTAATCTAAATTGAAGGCAGACAAACGTTCCCGAGCGTCTCCCGCTTACAGCTGAAGGGAAGGACACTGACAGGAAGATGCCAACAGGTCAGTAAATGCGCTCTCTGAGACGTTAGCTAAGCAGCTAGCGTCACTTGAAATGGACTGACGTTAGCTAACGTGTGTCGTCTGCTTCCAGATGCAGTCAGGTGTTGGTACTATAATACAGGCCTAGTAACTGTCTAACCTGATGGAAAAGCAGTGGGTTTTACTATACTGATAACTTGCCAGGCCTAACGTAACGCTTTAGTATTGTTTACGTAGCAGTGAAATAGAAACTGTTTCACCCACTGGAACAGGCAGAACTGGAAATCAGTTTTAACTAGAAAAGGTAATCACTGCCCACTTCTTTAATTTGATATAAATGATGATATCTTCCCATAGCTAACAACATAAAATAGAGTTATATAAGGATGTGCTCTTGAAGGGCTAAAACTCTTATTAACTCATGTGGTTGCTATGCGCCAGGATATGATGAGCACAGTCACCTCACCGTTTATCACCCGTCAGTGACCTCTCATTCACTCAGTGACCTCTCATAACAGCTCCAGGTTAGTGTGGCACTTAGTCAGACTGCAGAGACATGCTGCACTGTGCTGCTCACTGCTGGGTTTGACCTCTGCTGTTGCAAAGCTTTGACAGCTCAACACAACTGACCACCACTCACCTCTGGCTTCTTGTCATGAGATGGTTTATGAGTACAGTGAGCCCAGACTGCTCTAAAACCCTTGACTCACCCTCTTAACGTTTGTCAGAAAACTTACCATGATTACCACGTACCATCTAGTGTTTTCACTTGGGGAAAAAGAATAATAGAACAACACTATGATATTGTCAGTTGATTATCATTTGAACTTGTTAAAAGATCTGTTGCCCTAATTTTGAGAGTTGCAGAGATTAATGAAAAGTATGATCAAAAAAGGCATCAGTGTGAAGAAGTTTCGTTTGCCCACTTGCAGTAAGATGTTTTACTGCAGAACAAGAAAGTTCAGTTTCATAGAGTATTTCCTGTATGAGATGCTTTTGTCTTCATACACATACTTCATTTCACTTGTCTCATTTTACATGTTCAAAGCTCACAGTGAAATGCAGTCCATTGCTCCAAGTTCTGCATGCTGTACAGGCACACGGCACTGTGCTACTCACTGCTTTGTTTGACTTTTAGGGTCACAGACCAGATGGAGCCTCAACGATAAGTTGTTTGGCTGAAAATTAATAAGCTAAAATTTTGATAAAGAGTTAGGCTAAGGCTTGACTGTTTAATCTAACTGTTTGGGGGAAAAAAAGAATATCAAAATTCTTTTGTTCCAGCTTTTCAAACATGAGTATTTGCTGGCTTTCTTAGTCGTCAGTTATTGTAAACGGAATATTTTGGGTGTTTTGACTGTTGATCTGGTAAAACAAGACGTGTTATAAATCACTTTGGGCTCTGGGAAATTGGGATGGACATTTTTCACTATTCTCTGACACTTTTTATCAACCAGTTGATTCAGCAAGAATATAACTGGCAGATGGATAATGGAAATAGTTGTAGCCCTGAGGTCAGCACAACAGACTGGCTTTCCCTTCTCTCTGCTTGTCATGAGATAGCTGTATAAGACTGTCCATATTGCATGCTTTATTGTAGGGCAGGGTAATTCCCAGGGCATTTCCTGTATCAAATGGTTTGGTCTTTATACAGTAGCCTCTAGGTTTATATCCTTCATTTCAGGTATGGCATTTTTAATGGCTTCAAGTTGTGCATTTTGTGCTTTGTGAAATTGCCAGTGTGAGGAGATGATTTTTGATTATTTTCTTATATGTTGTAGACTAATCAATTACAGGTAATTGCAAAAATAACCACCTAATTAATTGAGAATGAAGATAGTATGATAGTCCTGCTGAACAGTAGCCACACTCATTAAAAACACAGATCAGCCACAACATTAAAACCACTGACAGGTAAAGTGATCATCTCGTTACAATGCATTTTTGTGCTTGGAAACCTGGGGTCCTGGTACTCATGTGGATGCCACCTGAGAGACACCAGCAAACCAAACACTACTGCAGATGAAGTACAACCTCTCATGGCAACAGTACTTTCCGATGGCAGTGACCCCAGCAGGATGATGCACCATGCCACACTGCGAAAAGTGCTCAGAAATAGCCTGAGCAACATGACACAGAGCTCAAGGTGTCAACCTGGCCTAGACATCACAGGACACCCCAGAGTCCCTGTGTCCATGCCATCACCATTCAGAGCCAAGTCTGATCAAAAAAGGCTCCTCTGTGGATTGGACTTGGGCTCTGAGGTATCTGCACATCTTGAGGATGCTCAATCAGATTGGGAACTGGGTTTTTTTGGCCAGGTTGATGCCTTAAAACCTCCTGACATCCTGCTTGGGGAGTTACTGCCATCTGTGATCATCGCTGCAGTGAAAAGGTGCACTTGGTGTGCAACAGTGTTTGGGTGGATGGTATGTATCAAGTGGCATCCACATGTACCGCGGCCCAAGGTTTCCCAGCAGAACATTGCATTGTAACGAGATAATAAATGTTGGTAGCTTCAACTGTCAGGGGTTTTAATGTTGTGGCTGAACAGTGTGTATTAACTGTGTGGGATGGCTTCTCTGCTCACTCTTTGATGGTCAAAGCCTTGTTTTATAAACGTGCATTTATGGTAATTGATGTAGACTTCATTTCAGGTGGAGTTGCCCATTTCCCCTGTTAAACACTGCAGAGAACCTTGATTCTTTGGCTGGTGTAGTGCATTTTTAGTGCCAACAGTTGATCAACTGCTTTTCCCCTTCTGTAAAGAACCAAACTTTAACTTGCCTCTAAACTGTGACCCTCCTGCTCCTCTCCTCCAGTATGCGGTGACTGAGACTGTGGCCTGAAGGCACAGTGGATCAGGTGGCGGCAGCAGCAGCACCAGTCAGCAGGCATCTAGCTTAGATGAAGGATGAAGAGCCCGGTGCACAGATGCAGGGATGTGGAGCACGGGCGGGGGCAGGGCGGGGCCGGGGCTGGTACCACCACCACCTGCCTGCAGGCCGAGCAGCGCATCCCTATCTCCAAAGATGTCATCACTTCCTCCTCTGCCTCCGCCATGTGGTTTATCAGGGACGTCTGTGGCATCGTGTGCGCCGTCATCACCTGGCTGCTGGTGTTGTACGCGGAGTTCGTGGTACTGTTTGTGATGCTGCTGCCATCCAAGAATCTAACGTACAGCATTGTGAATGGGACCCTGTTCAACATTTTGGCCTTCCTTGCCCTTGCCTCACACCTCAGGGCCATGTGCACTGACCCTGTAAGTGGCATTTGTGTGGTGTCATGTAAACACACAGTGAAAATTAGATGAATGCTTTAACTCTCAATGTCATGGAGACAAGTTTAGGGCCTTTATGGTCGTGATTAATGGAGCTGAACTTTAATAAAATTGTAAAAGTATGTTTAGCTTCTACCCACTTATTTCATTAGGAGGATTAATGAGCTGCGAGTTACATTTAGTCATCTACTGTGTGGTCATGTTTCTTTCTAGGGGGCAGTGCCAAAAGGGAACGCTACTAAGGAATACATAGAAAGCCTTCAGCTGAAACCAGGGCAGGTGGTCTACAAATGTCCCAAGTGCTGCAGCATCAAGCCTGACCGAGCACACCACTGCAGGTAGGGCAAAAAGGACATGAAATTCTCACTGCTGCATTAGGCATTCACAAACCCAATCCCATGCTTCCAGCTGCAGTGTTTTGGTGCAGTGAAGAAGTCAGATTGTTCTCAGAATTTCCAACTTCAGTTAATTTGTGAAATAGAAGTTGCTCACAGAATGTACTGCCCTTCACTTTATGTTAATGTCGTCCTTGTGCACACTTATTATTGTTGTATTATTGTTTATTGTTGTTTTTGGAGGGTTGATCCAGTAAGCATTTTATTTTGTTCTATTTCTCTTTACTTTACACTTAACTTGCTGTTTTTCTCACAGTGTTTGCAAACGCTGCATACGGAAGATGGACCACCACTGCCCCTGGGTCAATAACTGTGTTGGGGAGAACAACCAAAAGTACTTTGTGCTTTTCACAGTAAGTTCACTGCAGGAATAAGACAATAAGAAGTTGCTATCAGATTGTAGCTTAGAAGTCACAATTTTTTATCTTTTTTGTATCTGTACACTGTGCAACTGCTCTTAAGGATGTGAAATCAGTAGTCGTTGCTGTTGTAATGCAGCACAGATACAGATGAGAAGTGAATACCCCCTCTGTTTGCAGTTTCTGTATGTCATGAGTAGTCCTTCATTATGTTCTCCTCTGTTATTCTTTTAACCCAGATGTACATTGCACTCATCTCTCTCCACGCTCTGCTCATGGTGGTCTTCCATTTCCTCTACTGCTTTGAAGATGATTGGACAAGTGAGTGTTGTTTTTTTTAACCTATGTTGCCTTCAACTCCCTTCATTCATAAAAAGAAAAGCCTCTCTTTAAGTCATCAGAACTGGAGCTCTAAACTGACGATCTTTCTTTACAGTGTTTGTATTCGGATATACATTATAAGTAAAATAAAACAGTATGTTAGGCTTAACATAATTCAGAGTTATTCTTATTCAGCCAGTTTGTATTATTATCAACATTGATCTATTTGTCTTTATCCATTATTTTCCTTTAGACGCTTTAGAGATGCAATTTTCTTTGCTTTACAGATGCATGTACATGTCATGCTAATGGGAAATTGAAATTGATAAAACTGGGAAACACAAACGGAAAGAGAATCATTCCCACAAACCAACAAACCAAAAATACACAAACCAACCCATTCCAGAGCCCCTCCACCCACCAGTCGCCTTCATTTTCTGAAGCAGCATGGATGTTGTATGTAAATATTTGGTTTATTTTGGACATTTGTGCTCCATGGCATGGGGACAGAAGCTCTGGGAGGCATTGGCTACACAGGCAGTACTCACTGGGATACATTCCCAGCTGGATCTGGCCTCTTTGGGGTTTGTTAATGATAATAAAAATTAAGGGTTTTCTTTTTTAGTGTACGCTGCCCAAATATAAAAAGGGACTTTACTTGGATTAATACAGTCATTTCTCTTTATGTCTTAAAGTGCTGGGGGGATATTATAGCATTAATAGGCCTTCTCCAAAGGTATATGAGTGACATTTTGTCACAACATTCCTGCTGGACTCAATGTTGTCCTATTCTTGCTGACAGAACTGGGTTGCATAGCACAGTGTGAACTTCAGGAGGACTTAGGAGCACAGTCTGTCAGCATGCAAACCATATGTTCATGACTGTGTCTTGTGGTAAAATGCACTAACTGGCTTGGGAAACATCCAGAGGCCTTTACGATCCCTGAACCGGTTGTGTTTGTTAGTGTTGCTCAATTATGGCAAAAATCATCATCACAATTATTTTGGTCAACATTGACGTCACAATTATTTAACACGGTTACTTACTGGCTTTGCAAACATCATGCATTTATTGAACTTAAAAAACAATACAAAAAAAATCTTTATAACAGTGGATTTCTGGAACTTAATACATATAATTCAAATGTTGGTAGCTCATTGGCCATAATTCTTACTGCAACACTTAAGGCATTCAAATACTGGCATTTTGTCAATAAATAAGAATAAATAACAAATGTAATGTAATTCTCATCATCAGTCTCTGACCTGTTGATAATTCTTGAACTGCAGCTTGTCCTTGTTTACACAGGGCAGGCACAGTGGACTGACTAATTGCACACTGTAGCAGGGCTCAGGCACTTAGACCATCCACTTTAATTCAATATTCTCTACAGCGTACAGTGTGCACTAGTGAGTGTGGTCAGATATATGCAGTAATTACTTATTGCTTTGGCCACGTCTGAATCTGCAATGGGAGGCTGCTTGAACGCTACGGGGAGAAGGACTCCAGGCTGTTTTTGTACCTTTTCGCTAATCAACACATTCTGGCGATGCATTTGTAAATTTACTGTGAAAAGCCATCCTGAGAGCTCCGCCTTGTAACGTAATGAGAGCAGCGGTCTAGGTAACAGCGGGGTATTTTTAGAAATAAAATCACTAGAGCGTCTGAAAAGTCACTAAATCTAGTGAGAAAGTCATCAAGTTGGCAACAGTGAGTGCACCGCTGTAGAAGAAAGGAGAGTGCTGGATTTATAACATGAGATAAAACGAGACCGTCATTGCCAAGTGGAATGTGGCACGTTCATCTCATCTCAATTAGCTCGATTTCATAATTGTTGGAAGCCAAAATTGTAATTGAAAATAAAATTTGATGAGTTGCCCAGTCCTATTCATCCTGGTTGCAGTGTGTCATACTGTATATGAAAGCTTGATTTCAGACTGTTTTCAACTTCTTTCATCATCTTCATCATATTTAGATTTTGTTCTGTTGGTGCTAAGGCACATGTGTCTTAGGGTGGAATCAAAACAGTCTATAGAGCTGACATTGAATGACAGGCCTCAGGGTAAGACCAACAGTGCACTTGTGACTTGCTGACACACAAATAAGGCATCATTTCAGAATGAGAATTTGTGTGTGGAGACAATTAGTTGAAATAGTTGTTGAAGATGGAAACAAAATCTGCTACTCATAAAGCTGTAACCAAGGGGTTTAAATTGAACCCAAGGCTTTTCTGCAGCCAACATCTGGCTGCTTTTTTTCTAGAGTTTTCTGGAAGTTTCCCTTTGTACATGTGCTAAAACTATAGACACACATTTTCCTTCCTGCTCAACAATCCAGCCTCCTGATCCCAAACACTCACTACCCTTCCCCTTTTACTGAAGCACCCTCAGCAGGTGATAAGTGGGCATACTTGTTGACAAAATTGCTTCAGTGCTTTGCAGCATCACTGTAATGCTGCAGGCGAGTTAACAGTAGAGTTCAGTAGTTTCTCTCATTGTAGCGTCCAGCAGTTCCTCATAAAGTCCTCTTTTTCGCCTCTTCACTTCTCTTCCTCCATGTCCCTCCATCCCCTCCCAGAGTGCAGTTCCTTCTCTCCTCCAGCAACAGTCATCCTCCTCATACTCCTGTGCTTTGAGGGTCTCCTCTTCCTTATCTTCACCTCTGTGATGTTCGGCACCCAAGTCCACTCCATCTGTACCGACGAGACCGTAAGTGATTCATTTAGTGACCCACACTCCTCCTCCCTCTGATCTCACTACTTTTCTTCTGCTCCTTTCCCTGCTGCTGCCACCCTTTGCTTTTAACATTGGCATCTCTGACCTTCTAATTCAAACTGTTTATGGTTAAGTAACGTCTCCTTTTTTTGCAGCCTGGTAGAATAAGTTGCAGCAAATTCCCTGCATGTCTTAACTCTGACTGAAAACACTGTCTGAAAAGTGGGTAACTGCCAAAAAGAAAGAAACTTCAACAGAAAAGGGAAATTTGTGGTGTAGTGACCACAAATCTTCTGTCTCCTTGATGTCAAGGATCTGTCGAGCAAATCAGTCCCTGATGTCATTGTAAGCTTCGCACTTTATGCACTAGGATTCAGAGCTTGACAGGCATAGCAACATTAACTAATAGCCTTTTCATACAGGAGACTGAGCCGTGAACTCTACTGAACACAAATTCAATGTGCGTTGGAGTGGACCCATTCACAGGAGACAGCCTTCACAGGTTTATGTCTGGCTGTCACTGTCTGCAGAGACTTCAGTCTTCTCTGTATTTTCATAAACCATGAATCTATCAGAACTACACCGAATGACATTGAATAACTACCAAATACAGGAAAATTTCAGTTTCACCTCTCTATATAAGCCCTCTACCTCTTTCTCTGTCCAAATCTGTGAGCTTTGCATGCTTGTCTCTTTTTCTTTGGTGATTTTTTTTTTAAATTACTTTTACACATTAGTATCATTAATTTTTTTTCCCATACCTTTGAGCAGGGCTTAAAGCAAAGATGGCCCACCTACAATATACCCCCATTGTATGAAATGGTATACATTTCCGGTCTCCTAAGTAGGCCTTGTCCCCCGTAGCCCAATCAAAGATGAGGGAGAACCGCCAATCAAAGACGAGTATCCCCAACCTCACTTGGTTATCGTAGATTAGCTGGACTAACCGTTAGCCGTTGGTGGTGTCTGTAATAACTCAGTAACTCAATAAACGGTCCGTGAAAAAAATATTTTTTCCAGCGGATATCTTAGTTACAACATGATTGAGCTAGCAAAGCAGTTTGTGTTGCTATGTGTGGTATTTATTCAGTTTTGGGAAATCACGATGTCTAGAAAGCATCAGTTGCTGCAGCTGACAGGGACAGCTAACACTAGCAGCAAAGCTAACATCAGGACATCATCTGTTAAAAGCCTCCCGTTGTCGGATACGACATGAAACTACTCCAGTTAGCTCAATCATGTTGTAACTAAGACATCCGCTGGGAAAAATATATTTTTTTAATCCAGTATCTTTGGTGAAACTGCACTGATTTCAGCACCAGAGAGGAGCTATCTGTTGCCAGATCTCGCGAGAGTGTGTTGTTGAGACAGAGACAGGTCTTGAACAAATTTTCTCCTGATTTGTCTGTCTGAAATTTGCCATTTTGGTGTCGGAATATTCTGAAGATATGTGGCTTGTGATAAATGGGTCCAATATTTGCTTCCGTGACTATGGGGCGAAAGAATCGGCCATAATCTGTAATCACGTTCATTTCTCCCACTGAAGTCAATGGACTCAGGACCTGCTGTTAGTCTCCTAAAGGGGTGTGGTGGTCGCGAACCCCATGTGACACTGATACAGGACACTGACTCGCAACCGTCTTGGTTTATCCACTGTCTTTGCTTAAAGTGCCACATGCATATAGATTGTGCATGTTAAGTTTGAGCTGTATGCACCTGTGCATGTAACTAGGCACAGCTGACAACTCACACACATTGACCATATGTAGACACTTAATTAATTAATTTATAACTTATGATAATGTTGCTTCACAAAAAGACAGCCATTATCAGTGAAAATTAGAATTTAAAAAATGTATTAAATTGGTCTCATGGAGCACACCAAGTTTCATTATTAATGTGTAGTTCATTTATTTTACACAAATATTAAAATTGAAAATAAGTTCTGTTTTTTTTTCAATAACTTCCATGTAATGTGACCCAGCACTACAAATTTAAAATCAAAACATGTCACTACACTAGACACACAGGACAGACCTCTTCATGTGGGATTTTAGTGCTTCTTCTATTTTATATCAATATTTCTATGGATAATTTTTCCCATTAACTTCAATGTAATGTATCCCAGCAACTCAAATTTATTATAAAAATGTGTTACTGCACTGGACACACAGGACAAACCTCTTATGACCATATCAAAAATTGTTCCTATACCTTATACAATTAAAGTAATTTAACTGTACATTCCAATTTATCTGCAATTTGGGTCAGATCTGGCTGTGGCCAGGGCGGGAGTGCAGATGAAGAAGGACAAAACACCAAATGGTGCAGTAAGAAGGATTTTTTGGAGCATGTAATTTTTTGAGTTACATGCACCACTGCATGTACACGGAAAAAAAAATACTCTGAGCCCAGCTGTTAGGCACACCAGGTCACTAAAACTGGACAGCTTACAACCCAGGCCTGAAGGAGGGTTGTATGATGTACGCTGAACAATTCATATAGAGCACAGATGTGTGTTTGACCAGTGTGTGAGTGTAAGGACGTTCAGTTCAGCATCTCCCCGGCTCAGCATTATTTCTCCACATTTTGATTTGGTATTCAGCTGTTTCCCTCATTTTGGCAGTTACCTCGAAAGCACAATCTGTGATCTCAACGTAGACAAAAAGGTTGCTCCATAGCCAACATTTTAAACCTCTTAGAAACCTGCCTGATCTTGCCAAATTGTTTTTTGTGGTCTTTAATGCAAAATTGAAACCAGACAGTAATAATAAAATCTGAATATTATGTTTTTTATGCTGTTTATGGTTTTAGAGAGATCTGAGTTGAGAAACAGTCAAAATCTGAATTATATATATGAATATAATGTAACTTACAAAGTGCTAACATATTGATTGAGCCGTTAATTAATACCAAAATTCTGATGTGTCTGTGATCTAATTTTGTTTGCTGGTGTCATCTCACACCAGTGGCAGATGGTACTTGTCTTAAAAATAATTACTGCAGGCCATGCATTTAACCTGTGTCTTACTTTATGTTTACAAAGCTTTAACAATCTGCTCTTGAAATCAATCTGTGTTTTCTGCTACAGCCACAGAAGCAGTGGCTACTGAGTAAAACCACTGAGTGATGTACTTGAAAGCTGTAAATGTGTTTTCATAGAAAGGTAAATTTGTCCATGTATCAGTGGAAGAAGGAATCAGTACCGCCTCTGTGTAGTTCGGTGCCATCCTAAAATCATTCAGTCTGTTGGTGTGCCTGTGTATCAGAGCTCACTAATCCAAACTCCCTTTCCTGCTTTGAACTTCTTTTTGTCTGCAACTCTAGGTCAGATATATGGGAGACATTTAATCATTATGTCAAGGAGAGAGGGCTTTGACAGAGGGAAAGGCAACAGGACACAAGCAGCTACATTATGCTTGTAGAGAAATCACTGAAATACTGGGTTTGTGTCCCAGATGCTTTTAAGAAATGGTTAAATTTTTTTATTTATTTTTTTAATATATATTTAGTGGGTTGAAAAAAAAAGTATTTGTAATTTGGTTTGTGATTACTGCCTGGGTCACGAAAGCACACCAACTGAAGTTTGGTTGTCTCTCATTTTCAGGGCATAGAGCAGTTGAAAAAGGAAGAGAGAAGATGGGCTAAAAAAACTAAGTGGATGAACATGAGGGCGGTATTTGGACACCCTTTCTCCATATTGTGGTTTAGTCCCTTCTCCACCCCTGACCAAGGGAAGGCTGAGACCTATCAGTATGTGGTGTGAGAGCTCAGCGCAGGGAACGAGGCGGCTGGGTCAGAGCCAGAGTGGGAACCCTGCCTGGCTGCATAGAGCTCTGCTATGGCAGTCTGTCGCTCCCAGCGCTGAACATGATTTACATTGTATCTCCCACACTAGCCATGGACAGCTTTCCTTCTGCTTTTTGTTTTGCCATCTAAGTGCGCTATACACTTTTATTTTTGTGTTGCCTTGAGTGAGTTGAGTTGCAGAGAAAAAGAAAGCACTTTCAGTTTGTGAATCCTGTTTGAAATCACTGTGATAAATCTGTTTTTTTTCCTGAGCTGTTTCTATTTCTGTTGTTGTTTCAGAAGCCTTCTCTTTTCTTGCACTGTGTTTACGCTTGCTTTCCCTTAAAGGGTCAGTTCAGTTAAATTCCAAAAAGAACACATTTTCTCCTGTCTCCAAAGTGGTGTCTGGCTGTGCTGATAGTTTTAGTTTTAAGAAAATAACCCCTGCAACTGCCACCCCATTTCAATGGAAGAGAATGGAATTTAGTATAAAGCTGCCTCATAGAGTTACTTTCATGATCGATAACTGCTAAATATTTTCTTCGAGAATATAAGTGCGCCTCACATTTTCATGCTTTCTTTCAAATTGTTTTGTTCAACCAACAACAGTTCCACACGGGGCGTCGGTGGCTTAGTGGTGGAGCGGGCGCCCCATGTGCAGGGCTGTTGCCGCAGCGGCCCGGGTTCGGGTCCAGCCTGTGGCCCTTTGCTGCATGTCATCCCCTCTCTCTCTCTCCCCCTTTCACACTTGACTGTCCTGTCAATTAAAGGCAAAAAATGCCTAAAAAAGTATCTTAAACAGTTCCACAATCCAAAAGACATATATTCAGTTAACTACTGGAGATAACACAAACATTTCATGATTAATATTTGAGGAGCTGGAAGCTGTGAATTTTTTAATGTTTGCTTAAGAAATTATTGAACGATTTTCAAAATTGTGTCAATTGACTTAAAAGAAATTGTTTCAGCTCTAGTTTCATTTGTGGTCAAAAAATTGAAAAATGACATCACAGAAACTGTGGCAAATTGTTTTGTAGAGTCTATATCTTGGTTACTAATGCAGTAAATGCACAGACCTTAACAGGCGTAAAACACAAACAAAATGAGCCTTAGCACCACATTTCAAAGTGCTGTCCATTTAGAGGTGGTGAAATTTTAATTTGTTTGTAGTTTTGTGCTGTAAATGTCTTGCCTTTAATCTTTTC